ACCTGAAATACAGAGAGAATCAGGATTGTGAAGGTGTAATTTCAAGTCTCTCAAAGTTTTACTCTCTCTGTGTTCCTCCAGAATCATCTCTGTGACTACCTGTAATAGCTCTGATGTGTGTACCTGGCACAGGATGAACTACACACATGCAGAGTGTGGGATATGATAAACACTGGACTCAAAATCAATATTATCAAGAGTGAGCACATCAATTCCCCCTAAAATGTCCTGTACTTATCTTGGAATTACTCCTCCATCTTCCCCTCTTCACCTTGTCCCCACATAATTATTGATCTTTCTCATATCACTTTAGACTACCTTTAATTTTGTAGAATTCATAAATAGATAATGGTATCATATGTACTATTTAGTAGGGCTTCCTTGGCTCAGCATGAATCCTGGTGCATACAGCCGTGTTGCTGTGTGTATCAGGAATCATTGGTTTAATGACTGGCAGCTCTGAAGGTACAGGCTTGGAAGCAGCAGCCAGAGGAGGATCTGAAGCAGCAGAAGGAAGCCACTTGCTTCAAGGCTCATCCACACACCCTCCTCTCCCAGGAGCTCTTGGTCCCAGAAGGAGATTCAATCCCTTGCTATTTGGTAACATGATCTGCTGGCTGTGGAGAAGAGACCAGGAGGCAGAGCAGGTGGACAGGAGAATGTTGAGGTAGAGGCTCTGAAAGTCCACGCGATGGAAGAGGCCAGGAACTGGGATGAAGAACAGAGAGGGAGGAACTGGCCAGGCTGCAGAAGAAACCTCTGCACAAGAAATTTCAAGACTCAGGTACCAGGGAGTGGAAGTTACAACAGTGTTCAGCCTCTGACTATGCCCCTATGTCCCATGTTCTCCACTAGATTCCACTGCTAACCTCAGGTGTGAGCTGCAGGCACCACCTGGGCACAGGAGCTGCTCTTTGCTTCAAACCAGGAGCCTTCTCTCTTTGTCACCAGGGCATGGAGAGGATCCATTTCTGGAGCCACACCTCCCCACACCCCACAGAGCATAACCGACACGTATGGAGTCTCCTTTTGTAGAGAACTGTTTTCCTACAATACTGAGGCTCATAAGGAGGCTCCACACATGTGTGTCTCCTACTGACTTCAAGTACTTATTTACTTTGAGGCATCGTGGACCTTGACTGTGGGTTTTAACTCTGACTAGAATGTAAAGTGTCTGTATCAGTACAGTGCAATCTATTGTCCCTCTGTCCCCTTCCCAGTTTTCTATGTTAATCTGAAAATAAGGACCATCAAACACTAAGTTAGGATGTACATCATGTCTTTCCTGAGGAATAATATTATGTATCAAATTCTGTCCTCTTCTTTGCACAAATTGAATTACAGCAAAAGAGACAGGCACTCCAATGGGGATGCATCAGGAACTGTACAACCAAGAAGAACACTGTGTGGACAAACATGGAGCCTCCCAGCAGCCATGTCATGCTTTGGGGCAGAGGAGTTTTGAAGACACATTCTTCCCTTGTAAGTGCTGATGATAAAAGGGAATGCTGTGCATTACTCGCATGCATCAGTCCTACCATAAACTGGATTGGATGCCGGATATTGATTCCCCTCCCTGATTATGTCTCATGATGTTTTTAACTCTCTTAGCCCCTTTGTAGGTCACTTCTTATTGGGTAAAATGGATAGTTTGAGAGGAGGAGTGTCTAGGAACTCTGGATAGCACAGGTTCTGTCCTTAGAGGAACATGTGCTACAACTGTTTCCTGTCCATCCCTGTTTTGTTAGCTTCCTCCCAGGATCCACTGTGCCTTTTTCAGTAAATGTGCTTTTTTCTCATCTGCTAAACATCCTCATAAGACTTGGTTCAGCTCAGGGAAAATCTTTCTCATAAGTCCTTCCTTGACCACCTGGCCTCCTCAGATATGGATCATCACTCACTTCTCTGTGGCTCCCAATTTCTACCTCTGTGCATCTCCCTCAGAACAGGTACACCACCGAGGTACTTGCACTTGGTCACCAGCTAATAGAGGCGGAGATGACTCCAATTTTCTTAGTCCCCGAATACGACAGTTATCTTCATCACCTTTGTACCGTGTATCGCTGGTACAGAATTCAGTCAGTCCCTGCTGAATAATGTTTTTCCTGTAGACTTGACATGACTTATGAACTCTACTGTACTCATCCCCTGCTCCTGTGCATGGGGATATAACAGCATCCGTATTCTGCCCAGGTCAGTTCTAGGCACCTTGTAAGTTAGTAACCCTATCTTACATTCTTTACGCTAGTTCATTCAGTGAACATTGTGAACAGGCCATTGTAGAGTCAGTGATGATGACAAAGCAAAGCATGATTTCCAGATCCCTGAGCCTCCTGAAGTCCCACAAACAGATGCAAAATGCAGTTCCTTTATTCCTTTCCAGAAGTCTAAGTTAGAGTTCCATAACTGGTTATGTAATTCATTAATAAATATTTATTTGTTCTAACTGCACAAACTATGGCCCTGCTTGGTCTCTGTGAACACAGCAATGAACAGAAATAGAAGAACTTGCCTTCATGGGGTTTACCTATGAGGAGTGAAGACTGACCATAACAAGTAATCATCCTCTCTACCTCCACATGATCAGATTCTCTTGCTGACCGTGGTGTGAAGAATAGATGGGGATGGGATTGGGGCATGGGAGGTTGGGATCAAGCAGGTGAGGAGATTCTTGCTGGTGTCCAAGTGAGAGTTGATAGGAACTCATTCCAGGGTGGCAGCGGTGAAGGGTTTGGAAATGGTTAGATTCTGAGGTTGTCTTGAACTTGTAACTGGCAAGACTTGCTGACTAACTCGCGATAGAGTGAGATAAAGAGGTAGTTAAAGAGGGCACCCAGCTATCAGCCCCAGAGACTGAGGTTTCCATCCTTTGTCCTGTGAAAAGCCCAGTTCCACCCCAAACCTCATATCTCTTGTGAATTCCTGGAGGGTTTTTTCATTGTGTCTGGTCATCTCTGGTTTGGCTGTTTTTCTTTCAGTCCATCCTTTGGTCCCCTCTGTGCTGTCTGCCCTTGTAGCAGCTTCCCCCACCAGCTTGCATTAGCAGCTTTCTGATGGTTCATAACATTTATATATTTCCATTTGGTATCATATTTGTAATGTATTTTGCCCATTTTCTGTTTTTGGTTGATTCGTGTAGGAGATTACCCAGGCATTAGATAAGATCAATACCTACCATTTTTATCAACATGAATGGAACTGGAGGAGCTTATGCTAAGTGAAATAAGTCAAGCAGAAAGGACAATTGTCATATGGTTTCACTCATATGTGGAACATAAGAAATAGCATGGAGTACATTGGGAGAAAGAAGGGAAAAATAGAGCAGGGGATAATTATAGGTGGAGGAGAACCATGAGAGATGAGGACTCTGGGAAACACACTGAGGGTTTCAGAGGAGAGGAGGTGAGTGGATGGGTTGGCCTGGTGATGGATATTAAGGAAGTCATGTATTGCATGGCGCACTGGGTGTTATACGCAAACAATGAATCATGGAACACTACATCAATAACTAATGATGTACGGTATGGCGACTAACATAATGTAACAAAAAAATAAAAATATTATTATTCCAATACTTAGAATTTACTAAGAAAAAAATATTTGCAAAGTTAACTATGAAGTGCTTAATTCCAAAGTATTTTAATCTACTCATATCAATTTGAACATGTATATATACAGATGACTAATAAATAATTTGTAGATATGGTATAAAAAATAAATGCAGCCCTCATATTGAGGTTTCTGGAATGAGTGTCATCGAGAAGTAAGGAATGGACGATAGTTCTACCCCATTTGCTCCATTCTGGATTACCACCTCCAGACACACCCATGTTGACGTGGTCATGTGTGACAGTCCAGAGGATTATATCACTTCAGATTAAATAGCTTAAATTGAGACAGGCATCCATTGCCTCCTGCTTCCTAGTGTCCCTATACTTCTAAGTGGCCTTCCACGTCTCCCCATAAGGCCTTCCTAGAATTGGGTCTCTTTCTCCCTGTGGACCACGTCACATGACCTTCATTTATGATGCAGTCTCCCTTTGTTCTGAAGTTCAAAATCTGCACTTTTCTCTAATAGAGAAAGTCAGGGTCTTGTCCCTTCAGGCCATGTTCTAAACTTTGCATGCTCAGAGGTCACTCTGAAATTTTCCTGAACAATGAACACGTCCTCTGATAGGAATTTACTGACTTTTCCTGAGAAATATGGCTATCACGCTTTGCTTGGCCATTTTGCAAATCTAGCTCATGCACATATGTAGATTGTTAGA